CATATGCGAGTAAATCAAATTGAAGTATGTATTGAATATTGTATTTATGACCTCCTATTAGGGCAAGTATCAGACTTACCTCAGTACGTGAACGACGTGTGGCTGTGATCCACGACCTGGGCGTATGTCTGTCAACTTCAACTCTAGTTTTTTTTTATTTGCTTCCCTCATCAAAGTATCTTTTCCATTTAATTCTAGTAGTTATTATGGACCGGTGGAGAAGAAACATATGAAGATCGGAAAAGCGGTCTATCGGCGTTGCATTTGATCAGTTAGTATGCAACAACCTTAAGCGATGTTTGGCTGAAACATATTTTAGAGACGGGTTTCTTGGTCCCTAACCTCAAGTTAACTTATTTTAAAATCCTTTACAATTACAACAAATCTAAATCGCCCAACTTAATTGTTATCGGCATGTCCTCTTACGCCCATTGAAACTCAGCTGTACTGTTCCGTAGTAGCTCGCAAGTTCTCATATCTGTGCTCACCGGATACGAGCTAGATGAGGTAAATGATGGCGATGATCGGTAGCTTGATACATTACAGTTGCTACCTTTCACTGTAGTTGATACTATCTGTTCGCACTTTCTACCTCTGTCTGGGCCGCCCCCGCTACCCAGCTGCCGTCTGACATTCCAATACATACTGCAAGACTAATGAACTGAAACAAGGAAAAATCGGAAGTTGTTCTATAACTTTTCTATCTATAGGTCTCATTTCTACAATTTTTTGGTTCGATTTCTGACTAAACTTTGTCACTATGGACGAACTCGATTTTTTGTGTCATTCATTCCAGACCTGTGGATCATTTGGAACCTTATGAACAACAGGCATGTACCTTTTTTGCTATGAGAATTTTGTTAAACAAGTTTTTAAAAGGGACCAAAACAAAATCTTGTTGCATGATGAAGAAATGTAAAGTTCTGACGAATTTTCCGAAACGCGCAGCTTCATTCGTAGCTTCTGTCCTATCCTTTGGTTTGTAATATGTAATCATGATCCTAAACACCTTTTTAGGCTCATCATCCTTGTATGTGGTTTTAAGTTCTGCCAAAATTCGGGGTATGCTACATAGGTGCAAATCTTCGTTTCTTTATTATTCCCCGTTATATAAAAATAAAACTATCATTCTAAAAGCCATTCTTAATCTGTGGGTTCAGTAATCTGAAGCACATGATGTAATATTTACCATTGAATAAGGGAGTCTCATTTAATGATATCAACGTTCTATGCTTACCAGACATTAACAACAACGCTGACTACATAAACAGCGCTGATACAGTATTTTCCAACAGGACGAAGAGCTTTCTTGCAGTAAGCCCCCAGGGCCCCATCCAAAATAAAGTCTCTGGTTTTCAGTAGGCAATTCATCCTACACACAAAGTTAATTCATCTTCGCTTTATACATAATAGTGTTTCGGGTTCGTTGCTCAATAACTTTTCATTTCACCGATTAATCGGAAGAAATGATTGTATACAAAGTTCATTTGCGTGTAAAAATGAATGAATGGAAACCCTTCATCATTGCATTACAATGAAAAAAAAAAATCTCAATCATGAAAAAAATTGCATCAGTAAATAATGAGTTTAAAAACCTAATTTACCCGTCAACCCCTGGAACCCCATAAAAAGAACACCCAAGACAGCCCAATCCAAACCTCTATCATTTACGCACAACGATCTCCGCCCCAACAATTCATTCGTGTTTCGCCCCTAGATGGCGTCCTGCCACGCGATGTTTCAATGCTGGTCCCAGCCGCTAAAAAATGTATACACAGTATAAAGATGAAGCCACGTACTCGTAGGCTATATGGCGGAGTGTATAGAGCTGGGCTGAATTATTGAACGGCCGCACTTGGATACTTCGTGTAGTAGTTTGGACGTTTATGCCCTCGTAGATTATTGCTGTCTCGTTCCAAACTTTATTTTTTATTTCAACGTACTTTCAGTTTAATAATTGTGGTTACATAACATATTAAAAGAATTTTGTAGATTAAAATACGTGCATTTCCCATCAACCTTCAATTTTGAGAAATAAGAGCGGTTATGTTGATTGTAAAAGAATAATTTTTTTATGTTCATATAACATCTGTGTAGCTACAATTCGCATAAATAGCATAAATCATCAATGGCGGAATTAAACGTAGACATTGCTATGATGTTCAGGAATATTTTAAACAAAATGTTGTCACGTTTTAGTTATTGTTTTCTATGTTAGTTAAATTGTAAAATTAAACTCGCTTCAACATCTTGGTTTCTTACTAGGTACACTTTTTAGAGCCTAATTAAACTTATCATTGATTCCATAAAAAAAGTAATGCTAGTACAATGTATAAAGTATGGCCATACGAAAAGAATTTATTCTGTTTACTTAGCTTGCTATCGGCAATTTACGTTACTTACATGTGAAGGATTTATTCCTTAATTTAAGGCCCATTGTGCCTGCATATTCAAAAGTAAGCTTTGGTCCAGTTGAAAAATGCACGAGACTGCATGAGGTGACCCACATAGACACGGTTATACCTGACCATAGCGTTTATGATGATGGCAGTAACTATACTTCCTTCGCTTCAATGTGGGAAAAGTTGGTCACAGTTTGCGGGGGAGTGACCCGAAATGAGATAATTGACGAGGTACAGGACCTTTGAAGGTACGGAGGTAAGTGGAGGTAATGACTTTGCCGATGCAGTGCGACCGAGGAAATGCACCATAAAGATGGGAGATACTGAGCATGACATGGACCATCTTTCGCCACAAGAGTTCATGTTCATGTCTTGGTTGAACCATGGTCAACCGCTTGCTTCAGTAATGCACAGCTAGGAAGAATCCTAGGATCATGCCTCTGAGATTGTCCGTAGTAAAAGTCAAAACGCGAAACCATATTCTGGGCCACCTCTTTGATTTAGTTGTTTATATCCTAATTTAAGTTCTAAGTCGTCCATAAAACGTATAAAATGGTTTGTGGCAAGATGTATGGATGAGTTCAATATTTCCGATATACGTTTCAAAAGAGATGCAATAAAACAAAACACTTGGAATAAAACATGTCGTGTTAACAGTCATTTTACTTTACATTGAACTTGAACTAGACTAGTTAAGGACATTGACTAAGAATAATAAAAATCTTACTTGAAATAAAAAAATTCGAGTAATAATCCAAATAACTTTCTATATCAACGAAAGGGTCGATTTGGACATGTAAAGTTAATTATTATAGCACCGTACTACTGTGTAATCAAAAGTGTACGAATTAATTATAATTTAGTGATATACAGTAAAAGTAAATAATTTAGTTATTGGTTATTACTTTTCCATGTATTTTTGAGCTTGTTTACAGAATGGGAGCTGTGTTCTAGAACCAAAAAGTATAAGCACAACGCATTTATATTTCTTTTACATTGATGGAACAAAGTTCATAGACGAAACATATCATAATAACTGTCGGTTTATGTCTAACGAATACGTCGAATGCATTCGTACTACAGGAGTGGTCTTTAATCAATGGCATTCCTTCTCTATGCAGTCAACGTAAAGGAACATTTAATGTGTAGGGTTGGTACTTCTGAATCAGCTGTGTATTGCTCCAACCAATAGCAATAGCGCCTCTGTTTTTCTGCCATGTTGTTGTCTGTTGACGTTGTTGTGTTTGTCGTTGTGTCGTGTTTTGTCAAACAAAATATCATCTTCGCCACCGGTTATTTTCCAGAAGAAATTGTTTGCGGCAGTTTCATTCTTTTCTTCGTGATTTGTTCTTGTATTTAAGTGTTAATTTTGTTTAATCATCCGCTTCTTCTTAAAAATGTGACGAAAACGAATAATTATCAGGTTTGTTGTGATTATTTTGAGGTTAGTGTATGTTGAATGGTTGAATTTGTGTCAGGCCAAGTTCAAAGTGGTGGTAAGTTATATATTGTTATTTACCACTCAATCCTACATAATATGCCAATTCTTAAGCCAACCGAGATTCCTTTTAGAGAATAAGCACCGAAATTAGACTCAGTTCCTACGATTTTTTCTTTATCCATAACTTATCATATTTTGATGATCGTAGGCCTTTGAGGACCACATTCTAAAATTTAGCCCAATTTACTCAATGAATAATTCAAATTATTGAATTTACAATCGGCAGCTCGCAATTCTTTTCTTTGAGATCTCTTTAAAATAGTAAAGCATGTCAAGTGGCTTTTAAGTAGGCCTATGTTGTGCTGGACATTGTTGAGAGTAACTAAATTAGCCTATCTAAAAGATAAATATTGACTGACAGCATGTTTACAACCACTAATTGTTCGTCCTAACACTTGTTTATAAAACAACTTGGTCATTTTAATTTTTTCTTTCTATGCACAGTCTGTACCTAGTCCATTTGCACATTTCCACTATGTTCTTTCTAGTCCGTAACTTACATGGTCATATCGAAGCTTTTAAAAACAACTAAACTTAACATTGTTAAGTTAGGCTATTTTAGCTTAACTAACACCCAGGCTAAATATAACCCAAACACATTTGGTAAAAAAAACTATTATTAGGTCTTTCTTATCATATTAGGGATCATTTTCTTTTTTGTTGTATAACCGCAGGTAACTTAAATCCCCTCATAAGTTTAGGCTAAGTTTATTCGATCTCAGGCTATCCTACCTCTAATTGTCCAGCCACTTTTTCTAATTGAAAATATAGGCCTAAGTTAAAGTAATGCTGATTGTTTACAATAGAAAGTTAACTTAACTTTCTCACGGTTCATCATACTCTGTTTTGCAGTAGGTTAAATATTTTAATACCATTTTTAAAAGGCCTATGGATAAGAAGGGGCACACCGTGCTTTTACTTAAACCATGAGAGCTCCAGCTGACTAACCCTAACCCCTTTTTACTCTATAGCTAATAACATGTAAAGGATCCCTAATATTATTTTGGGGACCTAAAGCAAACCTCGATTATATTTGGTGACTTGAGTTAGCTAGGCCTACTAGTGTAGGTTATTAATAGTGGTTTGTTTTGAAACAGAAAGCGGTGGCGGAGACGGAAGGAGAGGCACTGTTGGTGGAGAGCGTCGCAAGACTCATCCTCCAGCTCGGAGGACGAGCCTACGCACCCCTCGTACAGCTATCACTCAGACACAGAAACCAACATGCCGTGTGGTAAATATCCAACATAAAAGATAACATGCTAGCCTATATTTTATCACGTTGTTATGTTTATATATGTAGCCTAATAGAATTTATGTTGTCAGCTGCTAGATGATTGTATACAGTAGTAGGCGAGAGTTAAGAAGTCCTCTGAGCCAGAGTGATATTCAGCAATGTTTGTATGTTGCCACGCGGTATTTGTAGGTGCTCTTTTGGTTTTAACACAGTGGATGTGAGCCCTGACTGCCACATTGGACATGAGTAACCTGCCCGGCGCGCCTAGCAGTCGAGTAGCAAGAGCCTGCAGTTTTAGAATAGGCCAGGGCTCAGAGGACTTCTTAACTCTCGCCTACAGTAAACTCCTCCCAATTCAAATAACCTTCATTAGAATATTCTGGTGAACTAAGACAGTACTGTAAGCAGTGGATTAGTGGGACTGAAACAAGTGTTAAATGCCACTCCGCTTTTTCCAAAGAACCTATATTTTTCCACGACGACCTTGGTGAGCATTCCCCACCTGTAAAATTTACAACTAGACCTATACCACTGGCTGTGTAGCCTGATTCATGGGTAGTGTGTGGTACCTTAGTTTTAGAGAAAAAAATTGAGAATCAGGATTGTGAGTGGTGTGCTTAAAAACAGGCTATAGGCCTAAAGCTGCCTTGGATTTGAGTGAAGCTACTAGGCTATGCCATATTTTCATCCAAAAGGCGATTTTGAGGGTCTATGACAAAATGGCCTGATTAGGCAATCTCTCTTTAGCTAACTCATTATAGGCCCTACACCAAATCCTAGTCAAGTCTCACATTTTTTTGCTTTTTTCAGGGTTTGAAAACTCAGCGATGAAGTCGAGTTTCTCGCTGTCCTCGCTGCAGCCCTCTAGCACCAATCTAGAGAGTCCAGAGCACGCGAGGGTGGTGGAGCGACCCTACAACTCCCTCAGGAAAACCTGCAGGTACAAAAAGTCTTCGTACCTTCATCAAATCTTCTGTAAACTATTCAATCAATCAAAAATTATGCAATAAATTTAGTATGCCTATTTGCAGTCAGTGAAACAGAAAACATATTGAATGCAAATTTTAAAATTTCATTCAAAATGTTTACAAAGCATTAATTGGGCTTGCAACGTTAAAAGTGATTTTACTTGCTGCCTAATTTCGAGATCAATTATCAATCAATTATCAATTATTTAAGATGGGGACGCCACTATGTGCGTATTTTAACCCAAATATGAGTGAAGGATGAGTGTAGGATGAGTGGCGCGATCTTGTAGTCTTGTTAGTGACTAAGGCCGACATGTTCCTTAGACACAGCTGTTAATTAATAGCCCATACAGCTAATGGCAACTAAGGGACCTACAGTTTATAGTGGAATCCGAACCACATTTTTCCTTGTAATTTACGAATTGGTCTAATTATCAGGATAGTACTGCGGATAGTCGTAGTACTCACTAGTGCGGACCCACGGAGATTGCATGGGACAGGGCCGACAAGTCACAAGTCTCCAATAAGTCCTATAAAAGACTCTTAGAGGAAACCAGCAAAATGTCCTTTGGACCACCCTGGTGTATTTTGTGTGTGTGTCGAGAGTCCTTTAAAGATTTTTTAACAGTTGCTAAAAGGTATCTAACATGGCTTGCAATTTGTGAGTCTCCTCTCAAACAATCTGAAACACAAGATAAAAGAAAAATGAATGTATTGTTTTCAATAAGATAACACTAGGTAATTATTTTATTACAAAGTATTAAGTCAATAAAAGTACCGTACCTAACAAGTAGTATGATTAAGGAGTTGCAAATATTTTAAAGTATTTTCCTTATAATTAGGGAATTTTATATCATAATCTCTGCCATTTGCTAAATAGCTGAGGTAAAGATGTGAGAAGGATACAGTTTCAATAAACACTTGTGTTAAATTGATAAATGGGTTTTAATAGGTTGATTTGTATGTTTGACATACTGGAACCTAACATGTGTGAGAAAATATAGTTATTTTAATGATCCATTTTTTTACTGCTCCTTCATAGGATTTTGTGCCATTGAAACGACCAAAAGCAGTAATATTGTATACTTCATTATTTTGTTTTATCTTCGATAAAATATAAGATTTAAAAATATTTTGTTGAAAAGGAGATCCTAGATTCCAATTTGACAACATGCTCCATCAAATACATTCGTGTGTAATTTGAATACATCTTGATGTGTGTAATCTTGTACTATCATTGAGATGGGGACAACACCTATATGCATATTTTAGCCCAAATAGTTTAAAGTTAGCGTTCCTGTGTTTGCAGTTAATTAAATTCTGACTAGCATTACCTTGAAAGGTTAAACCTCATAACCAACATTTACTGGCAATATTTTGTTTATCTCTGAATTATTTTTCAAACCTTGCCTCTTTTAATTTTGTTTTTGCTCGTGAAAATAGTATTTAAGCATATTCAAAACATGAGAACCATCCTAATCAATATAAAACTAACATTTACAAATACAAATACAAATATATTTATTATGAAAATTACAACAGCTTGGCCTCACCAAGTTTATAAAACTTGTCGGTGAGGTCCAATTGATACAATATAAGGCTAACAATTAAATAATTTACATTTTTTTTTCTTTTTTTGAACAAAGATTTCTTAATGTACTATATTTCTACGGCGGTTTGTGGCAGGCACTTTAACTTAAAACAAAGTAGTTGGCAGCACACTAAAAAATCTAAAATGTAGTGACATAAATATTGCTTTACAATCTACGGAATTCTTTTGGATTGCTCATATTTGGTCCTCTTTGTTTTTCATGGTTCGTAGACCATGTTTGAACTGTTTGTTTGTTTGCACAGCAGACTGGCACTGGCAGCGCCGGCCGAGCTGAGCTGACTGAAAAAAAAGAACAAAAAAACCTGAAACTTTAGTCGTTTGGTTTGACCGAACGAACATAACCTCTCACTCACTGTGAAACGCCCATGCATGCATGCATTCTCACAATTCACAAAAAGCAGAGAAAAATAATAATAATAGCAATTATAAAGCGTCAGAAATTGTATTTCTTCCCTATAAAATGTTTTCATTTAAAATGAATATAAAATGTAAAACATTTCAACCAGTTAGTAAATGATTCTATGAACTGTAATGTCTGACACTATTACACCGTAGACAAAACAATGAAGTAATAATAGGCTAGGTACCTTCTAACAATCTTTGACAAGGAAGAAGTGGAGGACCCTTAGAGAGTTTGAAGATGGGGCTGGAGTACCAGTTATTTATTAATTTATATAGCAAATGTTTTATTACTATTTTCCATATCAAAATTGATTATATTAAAGTGTTTTGCTTTGTTCATCTTTGTATCATAAAATTAGACTAGGCTATAAATAATTAAACAGACTTACAATGGTTTTATAGCGGTTTTCTTTCATCTGAGATACTGAGCTACTTAAAAACTAGTAGGCTAGTATTAAAAACTTGTAACATTGTGTCAATTTCAACATCTTTTCCCATTTTGGAAATATATAACAGTATTACCCTATAGTAGTTTAAAATTTGGGTTTTATCAGAAAAACATTTTCTCATTGGAGCTTAGTTAAATCATTGACTATTGGATACTGAAAGTTAAATCTATATAATAGCTGCCCATCCAAGGCTAAACTATTTTTATTTTATTTTATGTAAACAAACTACAAATAAAACATATGTTTTACCAAAATAAATCAAAATTATTTAGGTTTTGATAAAACTAAGACATAAACAATTTCAAACTCAATATTTTTTATACAATATAGAAAAAATAGACATCTTCAGAACTTACTTATGTGTGTGTTAGTTTTAAAGATTTATTGATTGGAGTGTTGGTGAAATGCAATACTAACTACATTCCTTCATGTAAAATTGAAACGTGACCATGTTTGCAAGTTTAGTGATTTTTAGAGCTTGGAACTAATGAAGTCATGAAACTACCAATAGTGTTTAAAAATACTTAACATGGACCTGAAGGTATTTATTTTTCCTTATGAATCAATTTGACGTTTTGTACATCTTAAAAATTACATATCAACTTAAATAATTTAGAATTTCCTATCTCAATCAGAAAAAAAAACATTTGAAATCAAACTTATGGCTAATCAAACTACTATCATAGAAGTGGGATGAGTTTAACAAAGCTAGGCTAGAAATTGACTTAGCCAATGCATTATTGACTTAGCCAATGCATTAATGTAAATCTGGCCAAATAAATGACTTATGACTTACGGTGACTTAAATTCTATTAATATACTTTTAATCATGTCCAAAATAATCTACATGTTCTCATAACTAATTCATACAATACAAAGCTAAGGATATGATAAAACTTGTCTACATGTTTCTAATTTACAGTTTTACTCTTCAATTCCTTATTATATTACTCACGATACAGAGAGCTTGTGACTTGTTTAAAGTTAATTTCAAATATGATTTTTGTTGCTAGGTAACTTATTTATGATTGTTTAAAAGTTATCTGTTTTTGTTATGTTTTGTTGTAACCAAGGTGAAGTAAAATGTTAAACAAAGTATTTTCTTGATCTCAAGGGCGGTCCCAGGTGGGGGCAGCGTCAAGTGGGTTGTGACCTCCCCAAAATGTTTTTTAATTAAAAATATACCAGGGAAAATTTAACAATTAATTGTTATTGCAAATCGTTAAACCAAATTCATTGTAGTCTTTACACTTGTGGCAAATGATAGGACTAATAACAAACTCTAACCTAAAACTTGGGATCATTTGAGTTAGACTATTTTTTGTACGTTGTGAAAAGTATGGTAGCTAGGCAGACGACGGACGCTTAAAGCCATATACGGCAGTGTCTGATGCTGGCGTTCGACGTTTGGCCGCATTCTACTTGTTCAATTGTTGTAACATTTAATGTTATCATTAATTTTAACCTACATGATTGAAAACTCGAATTGGATATTGGATAAAGAATAGTATCAAAGAAATTGATCAATAGTCGCTTGAAAGGTAGGCTAGTTGAATATTAATTTATCTGAGCTAAACGTTAGGAATTTGTAATAACACATTGAAAAACATTCATCAACATCTTTAAACTCACTGTTCACGACGTTCTTACATCTTTTCTTTTTGATGCACCTTCAGCCTCATAACTTCACCCTCAAACTAAACTTTTAAGTACCGGTAATTCTTCTTCAGCGGCAAAGTCAACAACTATTTTGAAACTGTCACTGGTCTACTTGATTCAAGCTTCTCCACTTCACAGCCTTACGTTAGGGAAGTTTTCACTCTCAAATTGTTTGACAATCAGCTATTGTGTCTAACACTCATAGAAAACTTTCTGTTTGCAGAAGAGAAAGAGATGCTGAGAAAGATTCCTGGAGAAGATCCTGGGACAGGAGAGAAGTAACGAATGATCAATTCTGGAACGCTCTTGAAGAACCAAACTACCTCTACTTAATGGATTGTAATTTAATAGATAGTTGTAAGGTAATGTGCATCTTTTCAACACTCATGTCAACTAATAATTCTTTGTTTTCAATTGTTATTATTACAAAAACGTGGAAAGAAATTTGATCAAAATCAGTTTACAGTCATTTACTGGTTATGACCCAAAGTTGCGATCCAGTAAATGACCGACTGTTTTAATAATTGTTGGTTAGAATTTTGGGTACTTCAGTATTAAACGGAGGCCACATTTTGTCAGCGCGCTGCGGCGGTTATGTTAGGTTGGGTTATCGTAAATATTATGTGTGTAGGACTTTCCTCGCTTCGTTATGAATCGAACGATACTTTCTATTATGATAACCCAACCTAACATAACCGCCGCAGCGCGCTGACAAAATGTGGCCTCCGTTTAATACTGAAGTACCGAATTTTGATCTTAAAATGAGCATAGAATATACTTTAACCTGTATATTGTGAATTAGATTATGATATACAGTAGAACCTTAAAATTTTGACACTTTATGGAATAAGGAGATGTTGAACTATCAAAATTTCAAATTATAGGGACGTATATTGGGTATTTACACACAGGAATAATTTAAAATGTGAAATAAAGAAACAAATAACAAATATATGTAAATAGTATAAAACTTGACAAAAATATACAAACTAATCAATTTACATCTCTACTGTACATTCTTTGTCTTCTTTACTCAATATTGCTCTCACCCTATAATGACAAAAGGAAAGATGATGATTCCAGAAAATAATGAGAGACGATGACAGAATCACCATGATTGTGGCACCAATAGCCTATCACTCATAAAATACTTTTCTCATATTTTATGATGCAATTTTTCTGTAGCCTATTTCAAGTTAATTTTCAGGCTCACCTTTGAATCTGAAGGTTGCTGGTTTGATTCCAAATTGTAATATAAGAAATTGTATTGTAATTTCTTTAAATTTGTTGTAATACAACCATTGAAATAAATCCTGACCAACCAATCAGTTGGTACCAGTCAATTTAAAAGCTTCTTTCTTACAGCCTATGCAACTGCCAAAAACCTATTTGATGTATATTCGACTCTGGCTATTAATTGCGGATTTGCATCTCCATCTTGACTGTCCATATTGTTAAATCTTAGTATACGTACTAATAATATCCAAGAGCATTTGAAAAGCGAAATATAGCTTTTCAGATTTTTATTTTTATTTTGCACCCATATTTCAATTGATTGTCTAATTCTGTATGTGTTGTTTTGTAACAATACAGTATTGGGGCTTTGTTTATAAAGAAAGATTTTAATTTATATTCATATTTCTCTTGCAGGAGGTGAGGAACGATCTTCACTACAGCTGTTCACCGTCTCACGACTGGAGCTTTGACCAGTTCTGCGCTCAGTTTACAGAACTCGACCAATGGCTCACAAGTATCCAGGAGACTATATACAACAAGGAGGAGAACGTCACCGATAGAAACTTAAGACTGGTAATTATAATGTTAGCTATGTATGAGAACTACTGTGAAGATTGTATGTAGTAATTAAGAAACTTGTTCAAATTGAAGCCATGCAGGCTAATTTAAACTTGAAAGCGCAGCTGTTTCCTTACTTCTCTGACTACTATCTTTGATTATTAATACATCTAGAGATTCAATCTACATGTTTTTACGAATATTATTGTGGGCTTCACTCACCTTTATTTTTGTCAGTGATGTCCAAGACTCACCTAAAATAACACCTCGCCTAAAAGTATGTCTTTCAGAAACAGTACATGTTTTTAGTTTGTAGCCAGGTTATTAACAAAATCGCCGTATTGATGTGATCTACGGACAGATTCCCAAGGGCTGATCTAAATTACTAATTTTTGTCGAATACACAAACCTTTTTATCAAGTCAAACTTATGGTGAGCTATAGCAACCTGGTCATTAACTAAAGATGAGGCTTAAAATAGGATTTGAGACACAAGCACATTCTGTGACTGGCTCACACAATGTTCTTTTTTAATAAAAAAATTGCTACAGCTGGTCCATATAGATGGGAGGTCTACTTCAGTATCCAATCCAATAGTCAATGCTACTATTATGGTTGGTTATGACCCCTATACAACAATTATCTTGTCGTCGTAGCCTATAACAATGTGATGGAAAATTTATGTTCTTGACAAATATGAATAACATTCTAGGATATATTTCTGGGGAATTTGTTGTCAGTTGATAGACTATGAAGAAATGGATAACGTAAATAATTTACAATATTGAGGAGGCCATACACATTTACACAGCGCAGTACGGCTGCAATAGCTTCCATGCAGAGACAGTAAATAATTTGGAAACTTTGCTTGTGGATTTGGAATGTTGAAGACAATCATGGCTAAAGCTCCCCATACACTATCCAACATGTTGGACGGACATGTCGGGATCCGACGTCTTGTCGAACATATTGGACAGTGTGTGGGTTCCGACCCGACATGCTCGACGGATATGTCAGGTCGGATGCTCGGTCCGGTAGCACCACCCGACTCGAGCCGTCCGCCTGACATGTTGGACCGTGTGTGGGAAACCGTCGAACTGCTTGCCCGTCTAGCCACAGTTTCCAGTTAACTGTGTGTGTTAACTAGCGAGTTGTGCGTGATAACCGTCCCATTTTTCCATAATGTCATTTAATAATAATAAACAGTTCTGGTCAGAATTTATTTAACTCTACAGAGACCAGAAGGCGTTGTGGGATGTCAAAAGTAAACTCTATTGCAACAAACATGCACATAGGGGCACGATATCCTGATGGAAAAGTGCAAGGAACTGTATCCAGAGTGTGATTTAAAGTTCGTTAAAAATAAAATTGAAAATTTAAGAGCCTAGTTCCATTCTATAGGCTCTAAAAATCCCTAAAATCATCGCTAAAAATCCCCCTGAAACAGCTAAATTCGTCTCAAAATCCATCTCAGAACTAATATTTCACCTGACTTGTTGGGTAACATGCTCGATAGTGTGTGGGAAACACCCGACATAAGTCAGGTTGGATGATGGGTCCGTCGTCAGGTCAGGTTGTCAGGTCGGGTGGCATGTTCGATAGTGTATGGGCACGGCCCCCTTTAACTACAGGCCGTGGCCAGCGAGAATTGGCAACGTCGCACTGAGCATTAACTCCCGGCCATTTCACCATTACGGTAGTACGAAACTAGTGGTCGCGGTTTAAATATACTGCATTTTTACACCTTTACAATTGAGATAAAATTTTGAAATTTTGTACAGAGCTAGGGAATAAACCCTTCATGCCAATGGTGTGGTTTTTAGAATTAAAATTGTATTTGGTAGTACATGTATATATTTTTAAAATTAACACATTAGAAAATTTTTGGAATAGTGAAGTGAAAAAGTTAGTCGCCTACTAAAATTTTTGTTTGTTGGTCAGAGAAGTTTCGTCTGTGAGAAAGTTGTAGATAATTAAATATACTTTAATTTTTGTATTTAACTTTTCTTTCTATCATGCTTAGTTTTGTTAAAATTTTGTGTTGAACAGAGTGACCAAATCTCAGTTTTTGCTCGCAACTTTATTGTAGTATCGCATAGCTAATAATTAATTAATGTAGGCCAACTGAATTATTTCAAGCATTTTAATATGCCTTTTGGTTATCCACAAGAATATTACTTTTGTATCAAATACTGCACGATATAATGTCTTCATAATTAAATACCGTAGCCTAAAACAAAAATGCCTTTTCCTTTTAGTTTTAATAATTTTGCTGTAGTTTATTATGAATTTTAAGTATGTGTTTTATTTACACGTTATTATGTAGTATTATGTAGTATTATGAGTATTATGTAAAAACAATACTTCATTCATTCTGTTGCGCAACCATTAATAACTAATCCATTGATAATATTCTTGCAACAGACAATCGGAAGGTGGGGCTACCGAAAACTTTTAATTTAGCGCTCATTAACCAATAGTGGCGTGGCAACCACCATCTTCATTGAATTAGGTGGAATTAGCGAATAACTAAAATTAGCGACAACCTGTACCTATAATTAGCGTGCAGTTGTTCTTCTGTGTTGGCTGGTTTTTAGTGACTAGTGGTTTTTATGTCAGATATCGATATTTTAGAAATAGCTGAAACTGTTTGCAATTTGTGGAATAAATAATTTGAAGGAAATAGTATCAAACATTATTTTGAGAGTGAGCAATATTTTTTAAATATCTACACGAAAGTAAAAAAGACCAAAATAATAGCCACTGTAACCATTGAAAAATGTCAATCCTTTCTTGAATAAAATAATTTTATTTATTGCTTTTGTTAATTTTTACTTTGTATAGTAGATGTCATCATTCCAATGATAAAACAATAGCTTACACAGAAGCTGTAACTAAATAACATTGCAGATAGGATTTACATTTTAAGTGTTTAACAAAAAAAATTAATAAATCATAGAGTAAATACGTAAAAGAGACGGAAGAAAACTACAATCGTGTGCCTACTTATACGTTCAATCATGTTCAATGTACCGTTAAAGGTTTTAATAAATATTGTATTACATTCTTGTATTGACACGAAAGCCTAACATAATTATTTACTCCTTTTCCTACACATTAGTGTTATCAGATATAAAACATCTAAATTAATAGATAATTCGCGTGCTTGTTCCAATCCTCCGCGGCGCGAGCGCGAGCATTCACTGGTGTGGTGTGTAGCGTAGCTTAGCCATCCAGCCATCCGATGCGGTGTTGCCACTTCGAACGCCGCGGCCTGTAGTTAAAGGAGGCCGAGGTATGGGGGGCTTAACTATGGTTGTTTTCAGCTGGAGACGTCCCTTATCAGTTAAACAATCTTTTGTTAGCCATGCCCGATTCCTCATCCAAAATGTATATATCTGACTTTACGAAATTCATGCAAGACCGCAGCCAGCTTACATTGTGCAAAACTTCATTTGAATACCCTGCAACTGTTTACAACCATCTTTTTTGAACTCTTTACTTCTTACACAAATTTCCCATGTCCCAACATTTTCCCCATTCTTATCTGTCAACTGATAATTAATTAAATTAGGTGTTTTGTTTGTACATTAGACCTCAGAAATGTAACTACGGAATGTGATTAATGCTGATAGCTTGATTTCTAGCTGTTGATTTCTCTTCACATTGTTATCAGCTACTGGTTTGTCTTGGCCTAATCTTTCAATTTAACTCCATCGTAGTTTTATCTGTACAAGTACATCTAGTACTTTGCTAAACTTCTTTCATTAAGATTTAAGGAATATAATGTTTGAGTGTATACAGCTCAAAAGTTTCAGAGCCATCAAAATTCTAAATAGGTTTAGTCTTTTTATTTATTCTCTAGACAATGATTCTTGCTAGCAATATTTTTTTTTACTTATCTGAAATATCATTAGCTGATTTAAGATTTGCTAAAAGTCTTTTTTTAAAGACTCCAAAGATCTGAGTAAAATGTCTCATTTTCATCTTGAGAGCCCTTTATCACTCAATTTGTCTACCATTTTGATGTCTAAAATGCAGCTTTTAAATTTTTTTAAGACAGATCTAATTAATGGTTCATCTAGGATGTTACTGGGAAAACAAAAATCACAGTGTGCCGTCCATCAATTTATTTTTCTGGTTATTTTATGTAGTGGATCGATTTCTCAAGGTCTTCAACTTGGATGCAAACATTTTGAAATAATTTTCTATCTTCTGCATGCAATAAAAATACCTTGAGATTGTTATCAGTGCTTGATTTTTCTCCGATCTCAAAGAGAGGGAGTCTACTGCAGTCCTATTTACTATATGAAATCATTGAAATAAGGAGCTCTTAGTGACAACTTTTTCTGGGTTTCGTTACTAATCTGTTGATAGAGATAAAACATGTAAACAATAGTAAGCCATAGTATGGTCTTGGGGTCATGCCAAAAGTTGTGATAAGCAGTAAATAATGTAATCAAAATCATCTTGGAAATTGATACTATGACTATTACCTTTCTATTACTTAGAATTTTAATTATGTAAATTCAAAGTGATTGCCTTTGTTTGTCACAAAGACAGATTTTCTTGGGGAGGACCTGTAAGGAATAGGGATCAGACTTATTTCTACTTTAGGATTTTGTTCAAAATTTTGGCCCTTGTGTCTTAGGCCAAAATTGGGATGGTTTGTAGGTCCAAACTGCAATCTGGCTATAAAATACTAAATAAGATCTCATCCGTATCCCATATGGTTAAATTAAGAGCATTTTTGTGGTCTCGGCAAAATTGTGAGCGTCTTCCCCAGTTTAGGTGAAATTGTGAAAAATCTTCTCTGGTCACGGCAAAATCAACACTATCTTCCCACCATCTTCCGCCGTCACGGCAATATTATGAACATCTTATGGAGTCACAGCAAAATTATGAACTTATACCGCAGTTAAGGCGATATTGAGATCGCGTAGAATTTGTAAACTTTTTCTCCAGTCACATCGAAATTGTTAACTCATACCGCGGTTGAAGCAAATTAAAGAACATCTTCCAAGGTGGGGTTGTGATCATGAACTTCTTCCGCGGTTACAGCAACATCATCATCATCAATTCTCACAATCGCGGCAAAACTGTGAACAACACCCAATTGTGGTGTAATCATAAATTTTTGATTGTGCATCTTAGTTTTCTAGTATTGCAAAAATAAAAAATTTTCTCAAGCTGAGTTGGCTCTAAAAATATTTCTGTCCCGAACTGACTCCTTGGGCCAGTTGTTGACCCAACCTAATACAAACATATCGGGACCCGCAAACCCCTAGTAAGGAATAGCTTTAGTTCTGAAGTGTGTTGGGTCTTTTCATTAGTTTTAATTAAACATTTTATAAACATTTGTTTTGAAATAGTTACATGTGTGATTCCTTTGCTCTTTGGCTTGACTGAGCTACTCAATCTAATTTAAGTGAAGCAGTTGGCACCAATCTGCAGCACTTGCCTCTGGTAAATAATTGTTCCAGCTCCAGACCCCGCTAAGGAACGGAGGTAGTTAACTTTGGCAGAAGTAAATTGCTTCAGAGGATTTTACAGCACACCTAGTTTTATGCGACCACAGTGGTTTCAGGCGTATCTGATGTACAGTAGAGTGTCGAAAATCCGAATGTCAAAATTCCCGAAACGTCAAAAATCCGAATCGCTCCTGAGGGTTTTAAAATATTGAATTAGCACAGAGACAACAGATGTCTTACAATTTCGCAGAGAAATGATTGATTGTGCCGAGCCAGTCTGTGTTTTAGCGAATTTCCCATATAGGGAATAAGCTATTACCGTAGGTCTCATGGTAAGACCTAGACCCGGGACCGATTTTCTTTTTCGTTTTGAGGTCCCCAGAGGCCAAAAACACCATCCGTTCAAATTCATATTATATATATATTTATATATGTGTCCGTTAGCGCGATAACTCGAGCAAAATTGATCCGATTTTGATGAAATTTGGTACAAACGTGTAAACCTACATTTATTCGAACGAGTTCGCGAACCAGCATAATCGGACCATGGGATCAGGGGTTTATGGGGGGTTTTATGGGGTAAAAATGGGTTTTTCTCATTTTTGACCCTAAAAACTTAAAATTTCTAAATTTCTCTCTAGACCAATTTGAAGAGCTTAAAAAAACAAATAATTTGGTATATTGAAGTATTTTTGAATGTTCATTGACTACGGAGAAAATTTAAAATTCCCATGTTATTCTTATGGAGAATAAATAAACTGTTCTAGTTTGCTTGTTTATGGATATATTTTAATCAAATTTGGCAATTTGGTTTATTTCATACTAAGCTATCAATATTTCAATTTGAAAAAAAAACACATCTCAACATCTTCCCTGTAGCAGCAAACCTAACTACTCACTAAAATTAATGTTATTTAAATAGGAAATAAATCAGAAAATTTATAGGGTATATTTTAGTAGAAATCAAGCCGGGTAAATGGAAATTCGCTTAGTATGCAGGTTTGCTGCAACGGGGGTATTTTTTGTTTCCAATGTATAAGCTCTACATATTTTTTCCAAGATACGAATTACAGTTATAAAACAAAAATACCTAAGTACAAAAATCATCATTTTTATTTATTTCATTCACTGTATCCTGGAACTGTATTTGTAATACTGTAGGCCTAATTATGTGTCTATTAGGCAATTCTAGGCTATGTTTGAAAATGTGTACAAATCGGTAATCTGAACTACCTACGGCAAGGGTGGTCCCAGGGGGGAGGGGGTCAGGGGGGTTGTGACCCCCCCAAAATATTTTATATATGGATAAACTTATTATACCAGGGGAACTTTAATAATTTTTATTGCAAATCGTTCTACCAAATTGAAATTCATTGTAGTCTTTACACTTGTGGCGAACAAATGGACAACATTCAAACAAACATACAAACTCTAACCCAAACCTCGGGATCGTTCGAGTCTGACTATTTTTGTACGTTATGAAAATTAGGGAAGATCGGCAGACGACGGACGCTTTCAGCCATATACGGCAACGGCAGTGTCCGATGCTAGCGTTCGACCGCATTTTCTTCTTATTTAATTTTTCGGCATTTAATGTTATCATTCATTTTAACCTAGATGGTTGAAAACTTGAATTGGGTATTGGATAAAGAAAAGAAGTTTTATCAATAGTCAAAGCTTGAAAGGTAGTTGAATATTAATTTATCTGAGTTCAGCGATAGGAATTTGTTATTACAGTAATGCAATTCAATGATTACCGTAGAAAATTTTAAAACTTTCAATATTAAATATCATTTATATGTAGAGCACCTGATATCATATTTAAGAATAACACAACCCAATTGGTAGTGTCTCAGACTTAGATGCGGAAGGGACGGACTTAATTCCCGGCACAACAATGGGCACAACCAGAGAAACGTTGCACAAAAACTTTATTCACACGTTGACCCTTTGCAAACTGCCACTGGCGTAGAAAAAAATTAGAACACTGAGAACTAACTCTTCAGGCGGTAGCAGAGTCGGGATGCCGACGGCAACGTTAGTTGGGTAGTGTACTTTGTGTAGGTTAACTGTTGCTTACTGGGCAGGTATAATGCAGTTGTGTTGGGTGCAAGTTCTTAAACACTTCTTAGATAAAATAAGTTCTCTGGTTCAAAATCTTGGTCTGATTTTGGACAATTTCTGTTTAGCATGCACATTGGCACCAGTTGAAAGGGTGTTTTCATCAATCAAACATGCTTGAATGTGTTGTAATGTTGCAGTATTCCTTTGATATTAAAACCACAAGTCTCAATAATAAAAAAACATGACATTATAAAAGCTTATTTTTTTGCATTTTTTTACCTTTAAAAAATAAACTGGGAAGCTTGAACACATTAAACTAGGTCCTCAAAATAGCTTAAAAACCACTAATTTTAGCACGTTATTTCCAAAATTTTCCATACCCCACAGGTCCCCCAGTGACCACCCCCAAAATACATGTCTAGGACCGCCCTTGCCTACGGTCCCAATTGGTTTGGATTCTTGACTCTCTACTGTATTACCTTCTCGGAGTTTTTCCCGCAGATAGGAGTTGCGTAAAAGATAGGTGTTACAAAACTAAACTCTCAGAGGTCTTTTAAACTTTTACTCATGCTGTAGCTTTAAAACGTACACAATCTAACCCATATAATCAATAGATACAAATACTGTTCACAGAGTCACATAGAAGAGATGCACCACAAAACGTACAAGCGGAAAGTGTTCAACAACCAAGGTGGCCGGCTGGCAGCCAAGTTCCCTGGAATGAAAGATGAGGTCAAACGACGCATGACTCATCTGAACCGCAAGTGGGAACGGCTGGAGCAGACGGTTACGCCAAGGAAACACTCACGAGTCGATACCTCTCACCTCGAACATCTCCCAGGTAACAATGACATGCTTTGACTTTATAAATCTGAACAGCCTATGTAGACCCTTGGGATCAGTTGGATTAGAACACTGACAAAACTCTTGAGTTGGGTCAGTGTTCTAATCCAGGTTTTGCCCTCCGGTGCTTCAGCCGGTCCTTTATTACTGCCGCTTGACTGAGTAAAGGGTACTAGGAAGCCCAATAACAACCAGTAATTTTCTTTGATATTGTTAAAACAATGTGATATTTTAAATTTGTATTAATGTTTCTCTAAAAAATTGCTCTTAATTTGATACCAAATTTCACACAAATTGGTCAACATTTACATATTCTTGTTTGCAACAATCAAATATGAGAACATGAATAAAATGTGTAAATGTTGGCCATTGATGAAAAACAAATATATAAAGCACAATATTGCTTTGTTTTACATGTTTTTATGTATTATTAAAAAAATGACTTGTTGCAATTAGCTCCTTAATCCCTTAGGCCGGCCACACACAGACCGAGGCAGGGCACGTCAATTAAAAAAATTAGCCCCTATAAACCTGAAAAGTAATATAGGAATTTTTATTTCTGAGCCTTGAGCCGATTTAGCCAATTTTTTAATTCAACTTTATACTTAGGAGCAGAAAAAAAACTAAATTCAAACAGTCATACCTCCAGAGGAGCGGTTTTTGAAACCCATCTCTTTCCTCAGTATCAATACAAAGAATTAGTTATTAAACCACTGTAGTAATAGCACTGTATAGTGGTAAAATGTTAGTCTTAACATGTAAAGTGTTATCAGTTTTGTGAATGTGTTATTTTGCCCTGCGGGCGCCCAGGGGCATCTTTTCGCCGTGCCCTGACTCGCCCGATCCTTTGTGTGGTGCTCCATAAGCGCCCGTGCAAACCCGTCCAACAAGACACTAAAACTATAGATCTCTCTTGGAAGTGTGCAACGGTATCTTCACAGGTGTCTAGTTATTCTTAGCTCTCGTACGATTTTATTTTTTGTGATGTCTGTGACAGTGAAGTTTCATTAGCAGCAAACACACAGCCTCATGATGGCTGTTATGAACAAAAAAACTATGGATGCAATCTGAAAATAAACTGAATACTCACGCTCAGTTAGCAGACAACACTACACATACCAATGAACATTGTTAGCTAAAAAAATTCCTTGCTTTGGGTCAACAATCTTCAATAATCTTTTTCTCATGCTGACTTAAACCTTAGACGTTGTCCTGGAAGCAGGTGTGTTTGTTTCCCAGGCACTGTATACTGTTCTTCGACAATACTCTTCAGTAGAATTACTGCGTCTTCCAAATCGGCCTACTCTCTGCTTGGACTTGGAAGTACTGAGTATAACAAAATGAATGATGAAACTTTAAAGAATAATTTCTGTAGAAGAAATTCTCTATGGAAGCTCAAAGAAAGCTCAGTGCTTTTATTTTGAATTATCGAAAGTTTTGATTTATCGAGTGTTTAAACTACTGTACCAAGAATAGACTATTATCAACCCATACAGACCTAAGATCAAAGCAGAGTATTTTTTATTTTGGTCAATGTCCGTTAATTTTCTGTAGTTCTTTGAAACACAGGTGATGTTCTTTTCTGTTACGTTGGTCTACAGGCCTAATGCTACTAAAATAACTAAGCATAATTTTCACGTTGAGTTTTGCTGTTTGGCAATTTCTTGTTTAACTATAAAATAACAGTGAGTACATCGTAAAAACTCAAGAATTGATTCAGCTGCAGTTTTAAGAACCCATTATTTGGCTAGAAACTCACACTCTGTTTGTTTGAATATACCCTCTCCATATTGCTTTCTCCAGAGTCCTGGCTATCGTCTTCTAACGTGTACACAGATACAATATGTCCAAGTACTTATTTTAACAAGCTGTATCATCAAAGTAGTTTTTTCTACGATGTGTGTCCTTCTTCTGCTATTATTTTATTAGGATGATGTATGTTATGATGATATATGTTATTTCAACTTTAGTTATGTACTAAACCAAATGTATTGATTATTCTTTTGGTTTTCAGATGTGGAACACCTTCTGAACTGCCTTAGGAAATGGTTAAGGCTAACAGAGAGAAAACTGCAGCCAATCAACTTCAGAGTGACCTGGACGCTAGCAGAACTAGAAGCTAAGGCCAAAGAACACCAGGTAGGAATTAAAAACTTGAATTTGTGAGATTTTGAATTGGCTTTTATGATAACGTCATTTTGCTATCTTCAGTTGTGGTGAAGATAGCAAAATCACTGGGAAGCTGCAATAGCAACCACTAAAGTTAAACCTTAACCTTAGGATAAACCATGAGTTAAAAGTTAAACCTATATTTGATCATTTTGACAATCCAATGCCAATTCAGCAAGTGTAATAAGTTGTTTTACTCCCTGTGGATGCAATCCTGTTAGTTTGCACATGAGGAATTTTCGCACCTTATGTGCAAACTAATCTTTAAAAATCCGAATTCAAAAATATGAATATCTGATTAATCTGGTCAAAAGAACTCTACTTTCAAACAACCCAACTTGTTGGCACTTCTGATGGGCAAGACGACCGTGTAAGCTCTTCTTTAAGTCAGAGATACTAACTTCAATGTGGTCTAGTTAAGTGCTATGCAAAATTTATTAACAAAAACCCTTTTTTAATTAGTTGTTTCTGTTACGAAAATACCAGGTATCTGCTTTCCAGTGTGGTATTATCTAGTAATGGCTGGATAGTTGAGTGGATATGAATCTTAACCTGCCATTAGTTAAGTTGCCTCAAGTTCTACGAGCGGTAGCATTTATAGTCGCTGTCTTACCTCATGTCGCCCTGGGTATTTGCAATCGTAACTGCCATAAATGTGGGTTTTGAACTTATATAAGTCTAAATAACTAGGCATGAATAGATTTCAGACAAAAATAGTAGTAAAAAAAATTTAATTATTTCACTAACACTCAATACAATCTACAAAGGTAACAGGTAATATCATCTGTATAGTTTATACACAATCCACATACAAATACTGTAATGTTAAATGTAGTTACAACTATGAACATTTTGTCATCAAAGACTGCTTCATCTTTAAATATTCTTCCTCTATTATTCAAAATATCTATATATAAAGCCAAAAGTACCCATGAACTTTTGAGAAAACTACAAGTCACACCCCCATAAACCATATACTTAAAATGTTCGTCATGACGAGAAACCTTGCGCAAAATTATCCATTATTTCATAAATTGCCCTTTAAGGCCGTAATTCCTTTCTAAAGGGAACTTTCCATATACCTAATGTTAAAATACCTCAGCTGTACTTTTTGTTTGTATTACTGTATTCTGTTTTGTTTATTTCAGCTTAACCTAACCAATCAATAGTTTTATTAATACTTATGAAGTCAAATGGGGTGAAACCCGTGGGTAATAACTAGTATCTATAACTTGCCTTTTTGGCCTTGACAACTATGAAAAGCACAAAATACAAAAACATAACAACACTTTGGATAGCACTACAATTTAACGCGATCGGTATTGTGTGAGGTATTGCCTAACACTATGAGCTATGCGGTAGGTAGCGTAAAGAGCCACTAACACCCCTGTCATGACACACTTCTCCCCCCCCCAACACCTCTAAATTGAACATACTAAGGTGAATATTTATGTTAACACCTGAAAACAGGGACTCATATACTCATTTAATGATAGCTTAAGACAATAGGCACATGATTAAACAAATTTTTTTTTAGAACAACGGTTTGTTAAGTGTGACCTTACAACACTACCAATGGCTAGCGTGATTACTCTATTTATCTGATGGTCTGATGGTCTTAAGAAAAGTAAGAAGCTATTTCGTGTTTCAAAACTCCAAAGGTGTTGGATAAACAACCAGCTGATCTTGGTCAGTAACAAATCTTTTGTCTCGTTCATTCAACACTTATTTGCATCTTGGTATATTGGCGTCGTAGTCTGGTATAAATCTAATCTAATTGAGCGGAGTGAGCGAAGCTCTTATACATAGACTCTTATGCATTTCGTAATACACAAACTCCTCCTAGAAAGCTGAAGCAATAATTTTCAAATTTTGCATGGCGATAAAAACCTTATTGGTGAGTGCTGACATCTATATGGCACGCATGGATGGCAGATCACGGTCTCTCGCTTGCTTTGAGCAAAACCGAGATCGTGATTTTGACAAAAAAACGGATTGACACCTTTGTGCCGTTGAGGGTGGGAGCCGTAGAGTTTCAAACCGTTCGTTCTGCCAAGTACCTTGGGGTCATGGTGGACAGCAAGCTTAGCTGGCGGGATCAGAGCTTCCGTACAGCGGACAAGGCCGCTAGGGTGGTTTCTTCTCTTAGCCGGTTGATGGCTAATGTCGGAGGGCCTCGGTCCAGTCGTAGAAGGTTATTAATGTCTTCGTTCCAGTCCGTACTCTTATACGGTGCAGAGGTGTGGGCAGACGCACTAAATAAGGAGGCATACAGCGTCAGGCAGCACTAACAACATAACATCTGCATCTGCCTACCGAACAGTGTCCCGAGTCCGTTCGGCGAACCACCAGTTTGGCAATTTATTGGCGCCGTGGGGAGGACCAGGCACGAACAGAGGAACGCACCCGCACCTACCAGCTGTGGCAGGAGAACTGGGAACAGGAGACACGGGGACGCTGGACCAGACGACTGATACAGCAAGTCCAACCTTGGATTAATCGGCGGTGCGGAGAGGTGAACTTCTACCTCACCCAATATCTGACGGGTCACGGCTTTTGCCGGTCGTACCTGTTAAGGATGGACAAAGCCGTGTCACCCGATTGCATATACTGCCCAGGCATTCCCGATGACGTGGAACATACCTTTTTCCACTGCCAGCATTGGGAAAGGCCCTGCCTGGAGGCTCAACAGTTAGTAGGACTGCTGTCGGTGGACACGGTCATACCGATGATGACGGAGGGTGAGGACCTGTGTGTCACATTACATCCAGGGTTTTCTCCGCGCCAAGAAGCTCGACCTTGACCGGGATGCGGTGTAGATCATAAAGAATCTAAATGCCAGAAACAGTGTGAGCCCTGAGGGCTTAGGTCACATGTTGGTCTGACTTGAAGTAATGTGACAAACAATTCCAGGTCTGTGTCCAACAGAGTAGAGGGGGTTTTTTAGTGAGTAGTCTGAAAAGTTCAGTGAGTCTCACACTACAGGCTCCTGCACTACCTGTGTGCATAAAATGATTTTCCCTCCTCTCCCAAAAAAAAACAAAAAACAAAAAAAAAACCATCTAAATGGAATTAACAAATTCTCTACGGAATCTGCCCCACGGGCCATCAAAGTTTCATTGTAATCCTTATGGAAGCAGTATTTGACACAAAACCAAAGGCATGAGATCAAATGTTGACTTAAAGGAATGATTGTAACTGATATCACGGATAGTAAAACAGAAACTGTATGGATCATAAACATAAACAAATGATGTCACTAGCTCGAACCAATAATAACGGAAACATATGTTTTTGACAGTTAATTTAAAAATAATAATACAAACATGTTTGGTTTTGGGCTAGTGAGCAGAGGCCTCTAGCAATGATCGACAAGCGCTTACCCTACGTCAAGCGAATCCTGACAACCAAAGATCAGGCCTAAGTGTTTAGTGATCTTATTGTATATCAGTGTGGTGATATGGCTCAGCTACTACCTGTGAAGGTTGGTGCAGTATTGAGCTTTATTCATGCCATCTTATCTTTCAAGTCAGTGGTATACACATGGATGTTTTGCCTACAAACACATTCAAAACAATTTTCAACTAAAAACTGTCATGCGTCAATCCGTGGAGGATCAGTCATTTTCGTTTTCCTCTTTCTAATATTGCTCATGGAACAATACAAGAAGAAGGATTCTTTTCTTTACGATTCATAAGAATAATACAAACAAAATCGTAGAAATATCAAACGCTGTTCGTATAATGGCTTGAAAAGAAGAGGTGCTAACGTCACCCTTAAAATTGGCTAAGCTGCATGGTCCTGTATCATTCATTCGTGTCATAAACAATCCTTCAATAGCCGCAATATTGATTTCGATGAATGCCAATCTTTTGAAAACATCCTCAGATTAGCCAAATAATGTAGAGTCATGTTGCGACCTTTGGACCGATTCAGGATTAGTCTATGGTGCTGTTGGCACTGTCCACAATATTTTACACAAATGTGAAGAAGTCATATTACATTTAAGAATACAGTTTTTATGTGTACAGTTTAGTTAAGTAATTATAGAAGACCCACATTATACAATAATGTGGTACCGGTACCGAATATTGTAACTAAATTTGTAAAACGTGGCATTAATTTTCCCCAAAACCATTTCTATTGACCCTGAACCAAGCAGTTGTTGATATTTGACCAAAAGAATTCAGTACTGAGTTGACGTACGTTGCAGTGATCCAGCCGAACGATATATGGACTGCTTTTCGGCACAGGATTTCCAAAAGAACGTTTGAAAAAGAAACTAATCAAAGATAAATAATTGCTATCACTGTTATAAAGATTTTTGAGTTTAGTTTGAAATGTTCACTTTTATTTGTTTAAATTAATTGATCAATCAATAAAAGTTATCCCTACACAATCTTTTGTCTATTTGAAATCGTAAGTAAAAATAATTTTAAAGCTTTTAAAGATGAGGGTAAATGGCATTATAATGCCCTGATGACTGCGCTCTATTTTGTGGACATGTCTGTGAAAGCCACCTAGTAATGTATCATCATTAACAACATCCTAAACTTCTATAACAGTCCCGTGCCGATGTTAGTGGTAAAAAACTCTTGTGTCGTTGAAATCGGTCAATAGATATGGCTCCAAATCCTGAAAGAAACCTTGTCTTTGTACACCATTAGTTTTTAAAACAGAAATGTTTTACTGTTAATTGAAATATAGCACATGAAGTGAAATTTATTGAAAATTCAAATAACAAATAAATCTGGAGACTAGAGATTGATGCTCACTTTATCTTTAAATTACTTGATCAAAACAGCTATGCATTTGGCGGACATTTGTTAAAATGAATATGAATGCCATGAATGCCGTATGAGTGTAGAATGACATAAGCTTCATTGTGTTTTTTACTACGAAAAACCAACTGTTCCTTTAGCCAAGAACAGTTGGTTTTAGTTTCAAACAATGTAAGCGCTGTTGGCTTT